GAAGAGATTTCCTCCAACAGTAAGTCTTTCCACCTCTCTTCCCCTTTCTCTTCCTATATCGCTCTCCTCCTTTTCTATATTCCTGTGTCCTTGCTTCCTGTTCTTCCTCCGCTTTCCTTCTCTTCCTCCTCCTCCTTGTCTTCTCCTTTCCATATTACTCCTCCACTTCCTCCTTCTCCTCCTTCCTCTTCCCTCCTTCTCCCTCTTCCTCCTCTTTCTCCTCTTCTCCTCCTTTTACTCCTCCTCCTTCTTCTTCTTACTCCTCCTCCTCCTTTTCCCTCTTCCTCCTCCTCCTCCTCCTTTCTCAACTCCTCCTCCAATCTCCCCCACCTCACACCCCACACACCTCATCCTTAAAAAAAAGGAAAAAAAGAAAAAAAAAAGAAAGGAAACCGCGCCGTGGTGTCCCTGGCCCCACCCGCATCCTTGGGGACTCCCTCCTTGAGCAGACGACGACTTCCTCCTATAATCAGCTGCCTGTTCTCTTCCTTGCAGAACATCCACCTGCTTCATGATGATCCTCACTATGAAAAAATTCCCTACCAGACCACCTACAGTGTATGTATGCCTGGGGAGCTGTTGCACATACTTTGTTTCCTCTCAACATAGCCACAATTTTCCTTTTTATTTTTTATTTTTTGGGGTTTTACCACTCACGTATTTTACTTTGTTATTAGTTCCGTGTGCGCGTTGTGTGTCCATGACTCCTCGGAAGGACACAAGGCTGTCATGGGTCCTGTCATGGGGTTGTCATATGCTAAGGGGGGGAGGGGAGGAATGGAGTGTCAAGGGGTCTTTTCAAGCGAATTGGGGAAGAGAGGGAAGGGGAAGGGGGGGGGGGGAATATCCTTTCTGTGGGTGTGTAGAGCTTCCTTTAGTGTGTTGTTCTTAGTGTGGGTGCTTTGGCCATACTAACCAGCCTGGGTGTGTGTGTGTCTCTCCTCTCAGCGTTCTCTTGGCTCTCGTCTGAACTCTTGACGAAGTGTTTACTCCTTTGCTTAATTATGTATGTCTTTTTTTTCATATAAAGATTTGGTACCTCTGCCATTTACGCTGAGAGAGAGAGGACGACTGAAAAAAATTGTATGTGCGAGTATGTGTATTTGTTGAATACACATGCGCGCACATCTCGAAGGCATATAGAACGGGTATATTAACATGATTAACAGCAGCTCTAACCAATAAGAGATAGAAATAAGCTTAAATCACCTGAGCAGTTGATTTAACAATTCAGACAAGTTGAGATGACAGCCTAACTAATGGTTTATAAAAGCCGAGAATAAGAGACAGAACGGCGACCTCCACTTAGCGGCGACCTCCACTTAACGACCTGACGCGGCGGTGGAAGCTTTTGTGGTTAATAAAAGAGACAAAGTATAGTACCAGTGACCTGCCACCCCCCCGCCCGCCCATGTAGCCCCCCCCTCCCTCATGCTCGCCTAGAGGGGGGGGGGAGGGAGGGAGGGAAGGGCGTGATGGAGAGGGACGGCACCCTCCTCCTCCTCCTCCTCTTCCTCCTCCCTTTCAGAAAGAGGGAGAGAGAGAGAGAGAGGGAGGGAGGCTTTGCCCGACGCCCTCCCACGGCCTCTTCCTCTTCCTCCCTCCCTCTTTAGCCCCTCTAGGTGTTCCCTCTTTTTTTTTAAGTCTTAGTGATCCCTCTGTCTTAGACTTTTGACCCCTTAGTGTCTGTCAAGTGACTCTCCGTCTTCGCTCTTTCTCGCGTTTGCAATGTCTGCGGCGCACTTTCTCTCAAGCCTTGCACGACCCACTCGCTGTCTGTCGGTGATGATGACGACCCCGACTTGCATCCCTGTTGCACTCAGTTCTTGTCTTGCAATTGCACCACCCCGTGCACTCCTTCGAATCACAGTCACACCTTGATAACCATTAACAAAGAACAGAGAAAAGAGAAGCAGAAAGACCTAGAAGAAAATAAGAGAATAAAGAGAGTAGTTAGAAAGAAAGGAGCCAGTTATTATTACTCTTTATACTAACGCGTTCTCTTCCCCTCTCTCTTGTCTCCCCTCTTCGCAGACGCTGGCCATGTACGCCGAGGAGTACGAGGAGAAGGTGCAGGTCAAGGTCCTCGACTGCGACACCATCACGCAGGTCAAGTCCAAGATCCTGGACGCCCTCTACCGCAACACGCCGCAGTCCCTCCGACCGTCCGTCCACGAGGTCGACCTTGGTAAGGAGAAGGAGAAGGAGAAGGGGGGAACCTCGGCTCGGAGGTGGAGGTTGGGGGGTGGGGGTGGGGGGGGTTGATTTAGTTTAGTTTCTTATGTCTTTATTTGTTGTTGTTAGCATCGTTATTGTATTTTTATATTGTCATTTATTGTTATTATTATTATTAGTACTAGTGGTAGTATCTATTATTATTATTATTATTACTGATTTGTGTGTGTGAGATTATTACTCTTACATTGATGCTGTGGATGACTCATAATATCCTTTTCTTAATGTATGGTGTTTATTTAACATTATTACTTTGTTTTTTTATAAATCTGCAATTGTTTCATATTAAAAGCCCAATCTCTAAATGTTGACTCCCGATTTATTACATCCGTGCAATTGGCAGATTTAAAAGGCCCCGGAATTTTTTTTCTCTCTCTCCTTTTTGGGCAATTTTTTTTTTCTATCTTTTTTCTTCCCCTGAAATAACAAGTTTTAGAGAACTTCAAATGAAATGCAATCCCGGTAGACTGGCGGGGGAACTGACTGTTTGCTTCCAGGACTGTGCCCTGCTTGGCTCTATTATTGGGTGTTTTGTTGTAAATTCTCTTTTTTTTCTGTTCCTGTCAATTTGATTTTTTTTTGATTTTTTTTATTTTTTTTTGTTTTCTTTTTCGTTTTCTTTGTTCTTGTTCGCTTTTTTTTTCTCTCTCTTCTTTCTGTCTGCTCCTCTCTCTCTCTTCTCTCTCTCTCTCTCTCTCTCTCTCTCTCTCTCTCTCTCTCTCTCTCTCTCTCTCTCTCTCTCTCTCTCTCCATCTCTCTCTCTCTCTTCTCCCTTGCCTCTCACTAGCTTCTTTCTTCCTCATTTCCATCTTCTACATCCTTCATCTTCCTCGTTCTTCTCCCTTCTACTTTTTCACCGCCTTCCGCACGCAGTATCCACACGCAAATATCCACACACGCAAACATCCACACGCCAAATATCGCGAACAGCCCACTAATCTTCATCTCCTCCTTTCTCCCCCTCCCCCCCTCCCCCCCTCCTAGAATGGCGACACGGGCGCGCCGCGGGTCACCCTCAGCGACGAGGACCGCACCACGCTGACGGGCGCGGCCGGGTGGCGCCGAGTCAACCACCCTCGCCACTACGGCGTCAGGGACTCAGCTGTCATGGCGCTGATCCCCGGCAGAACGACTCCTTCTCGTCCAACTGTGAGTGTTTTTTGTTTTTTTTTTTTTTTTTTTGGGGGGGGGGGGGGGGGGTTTGGGGGGTTGGGTGGTTGGGTGGGTGTGGGGTGGTGGGGTGGGTTGGGTTGGGGGTGGGTTGGGTGGGTGGGTTGGGTGTGTGTGTGTGTGTGTGTGTGCGTGTGTGCGTGTGTGGGGGGGGAATGAGTGGGTGGATAGATGGTGGTTGGGTGGTGGGGGTGGGTGTGGGTTTGTGTGTGTGTGTGTGTGTTTTGATGAGTGGGTAGATGGATGAATGGGTGGATGGATGGATAGATTGATAGATAGAATCAGATTGATTGATAGAATAGATTAGATAAGTAGATTATACATAGATATATATATACATGTACATGTATGTGTATATATGCATATATGTGTATATGTACTGTGTATGTATATTATGTGTATGTGTTGTATATATTGCATATACTATTTTTATGTATACTTCAACTTTTTACTCTTTTGTGATGTATATAGATTATTATTTTTTTTTTTTTTTGCGTTTTTGCTTTTTTGTTTTTTTTTTTCAATTACTTTTGGCATTTTTATTGTGAAGAGAATTATATTTTTTTTCTTTTTTGTATTAGGGTGGGGGTAGGAGGGGGGGGGAGACGCCAGACCCTGCATGGCGATGTTGCTGTATGTTGCCAACGCATGCACGGTGCAACTTGATGTTTTTTTTTTTTGTTCTCTTCGCGATCTCGTAACTCTGTCTGTTCTTTTAATGTCCTTATTTTTATGTTTATTTTATTAAGTCTGAGATTATTTTGAAAATCTATTCTTCCTCTCTTTTTCTTATTTTTTTCCTCCTGCTCCTCCTCCTCCTCTCTTCCTCCTCTCTCTCCTCCTCCTTTCCCTTCTCCTTCCTCCCCCTCCTTCTCCTCCTCCTCTCCTTCCTCCCCCTCCTCCCCTCCCCCTATCCCCATCCCTTCCTTTTCTCCTCCTCCTCCTCCTCTCCTCTTCCTCTCTTCCCCCGTCCTCCTCCTCCTCCGCTTCCCTCCCCCCCTCCTCCCTCCTCTCCCCACCTCCTCCTCGTCCCCCCCTACCTCCTTCCCCCCACCCCTGCCTCCTCCTCCTCCTCCTCCTCCTTCCTCCCTCCTCCTCCTCCTCCTCCTCCTTCCTCCTCCCTCCTCCCCCCTCCTCTCCTCTCCATCCCCCTCCCCTCCTCCTCCCCCCCCTCCCATCCTTCCTCTCTCCACCCCCCTCCCCTCCTCCTCCCCCTCCTTCCTCATCCTCCTCCTCCTCTCCTCCCTCCCTCCTACCAGATTCCTCCTCCCCCCCCCTCCTCCTCCTCCTCCTCCTCCTCCTCCTAGACCGCAGATTCCTCCTCCCCTCCTCCCTCCTCCTCCCTTCCTTCCTCCTCCTCCGTTCCCTCCCTCCCCCCTTTCCTCCTCCTCCTCCTCCTCCTCCTCCTGAAAACCGTGCCGCTGCCTGACGTGGACGGCGGCGGCGGCCCCTCTCGCGCTGCCTCCTCCTTGGCCCCGGCTTAAGTCAACTTGGGGGGGCGGTCGTCTTAATTGGACTCGTTCTTGAGCCTCTGAGATGCGGTCGAGTCGTTAATCATTTCGTCTTGAGGAGCCAAGCGTTTTTTTTTTTTTTTTTTTTTTTTTTTTTGGGGGGGGGGGGGTTTTTTTTTTTTTCTTTTTTTTTTTTGAGGAGGGAGGGGGGGGGTGTTGGTTGGGAGAGGGGAGGGGAAATTTCATATTTTTGTTGGGGTTGTTGTTTTTATTGTTTTACATTTTGAATTTACTTTTTTTTTTGGGGGGGGGGGTATTCGCTTCATTTTTATCAGTATTTTTCCGTTTTTTTTTTTTTTTTTCCTTTTCATAATCTTTCAATATGTTTCTTAATCTTTCCATCTCATGATCATTTCCATCCTCTCTCTTCGTGTGTCTCTTCCCTTCTCCTTCCTTCCCACCCTACCGTTCTCCCCTCTCCCCCTATCCCCTCCATTATCATCATTCCCGCATTTCCCATCCGCCGGAATGCTATATCCTGCCCGTCTCCTCCACTCCTCATTCGTCAAAATTATGATAATTCTTTTTTGCCACGCTCTCTCTCTCTCTGTCTCTCTCTCTTCTCTCTCTCTCTCTCTCTCTCTTCTTCTCTCTCTCTCTCTCTCTCTCTCTCTCTCTCTCTCTCTTCTCTCTCCTCTCTCTCTCTCTCTCTCTCTCTCTCCTCTCTCTCTCTCTCTCTCTCTCTCTCTCTCTTCTTTCTCTCTTCCTCTTCCATCTCTCTCCTCTCTCCTCTCTCTTCTCTCTCTCTCTTATCTTTTCTCTTTTCTCCCTCCTTTTCTCCTCTCTCCTCTCCCGGTTTCCGCTCACGCCCTCCTTTTGGATGTATTAACGCTCTCTCTATATGCACACGTCTTTCAGTCGGCTGAACAGCATGAATAATGGAGAGCATGATTTTAGCCATGAGTCTTGGGAAGGAGGGAGGGGGGGAAGGGAAGGGGGAGGGGAGGGAGGAAGGAGGAGGGGGGGGGGAAGGGGGGGAGAGGAGGGAGGGAGGGAGGGAAGGAGGGAGGGAGGAAAGGGGAGGAGGAGGGAGGGGGGGAAGGAGGATGGGAGGGAGGGAGGGAGGGGAGGGAGGGGAAAGGAGGGAGGGAAGGAGGAAGAGGGAGGAGGGGAGGGGGAAGGGGAGGGAGGGGGAAAGAGGCGATCGCCAGACGTCTTGGTTGCCGTGGGAAAAAAAGGAGGAGGAGGAGGAGGAGGAAGAAGAAGAGGAGGAGAGGAAGGGAAAAAGGATGTATGGATGAAGGAGGAAGACGCCATTGAAAAAAAAAAAAAACTTATTCCAGAAAAGAAAGTAAATGCAGTTTTGTGGATTGATAGATATGCAAATAAGACCAGGCTTTCGGAAGGAATAGATAGATGTGGAGAGAGAAGAGAAGTTTTTTTTTTTCTTCCTCGGTCGTATGTCAGTTTTTTTTCCTCTTCTTGCAAGATTCGCTTGCCGTCAGAGGACTCCCCTCGCCCAGTACCACCGCCCCCTACTCTTCCTCTTCTCCTACTCCTTCCCTTCCCCTCTCCCTCTGTTCCTCCTTCTTCTACTGCTCCTCCCCTTCCCCCCCCCCTGTTCCTCCCCCTTCTCCTACTTTCTTCCCCCCCTCCCTCTTCCCCCTTCTCCCCCCCCCCCTTCTCCTACTTCCTCCCCTTCCCCCCCCCCCTTCTACTCCTTCCCCTTCCCTCCTTCCTCTTCCCTTCCCCTTCCCCTTCCCCTTCCCCCTTCCCTTCCCTTCTCCTCCCCCCCCCTGACACACACTCGCACACATATCGTCTTTATTTCGGTCTAGTGCTCACCGTCTCCACTAGATGTCTCCCTGACGCCCTCGACCCACATCCCCCTCTCCCCCTCCCCCTCCACCAACACCCCTTCCTCACCCCCCTCCGCAATTCATTCCAGTCGTTTTCTTCCATTTCCCAGTTCATGGGGGGGGTAGAGTGGGGGTGGTAATGGGGGAGGAGGGTTGAGTTACCCTCTCCCCCCTCTTCCTCCTCCTCCCCCCTCCCCCCCCCCAACCCATACCCCTTTCTAATCCCATGATTGAATTAAACTTTACGACAGTTTTCCACTCTGTGACTGATGCATTTTCATGTTTTTTTTTTTTTTTTTTTTTTTTTTTTTTTTTTTTTTTTAGAGCGTGTGTGTGTGACTTTGTATGTGGGCGGGGTGGGGTGGGGGGGTGGGGGTCTGTTGTCTTTTTTTTTGGGGGGGAGTGGAAGGAGGAGAAGAAGAAAGAAGAAGGAGGGAAAGGGAGGGAGAAGGAAAGAGAGAAAAGGGAAAGTTAGAAGAAAAGAGGAAAAGAGAAGGGAGAATAAGAAGGGAAGGGAAAAGGAAAAGAGAAGGACAGGGCAAAAGGAAGGCGAAAGAGGAGAGAGAGAGAGAGAGAGAGAGAGAGAGAAGAGAGAGAGAGAGAGAGAGAGAGAGAAGAGAGAGAGAGAGAGAGAGAGAGAGAGAGAGAGAGGGAGGAAAAATAGGAAGTTGTTGCCCAAGGGATCTCGTGGTTCCAAAAAAGAAAAAAAAATGGAGGGAAAAAGGAGAAGAATAGGAAGAAGAAAAAGAAGAAGAAGGAGGAGGAAGAAGAGGAAAGATAATGATGATAATGAAAAGAGATGGCGGCGACGGGGCGGGGGGGGGGGGGGGGGGTATTTTAACCGGCGTCCATTTCAGCCGCAGAAGAAAACCGCAGGAAATTATCGTTTTGCGGCTTCGGAAATAAAAGGGGGTTCAGTGACGTCATCCTTGTCGTCTCCACCGCCGCAGTCAGGGTCATCGTCGTCGTTGTCATGGCATAATCGTCATCATCAATAATCATCAATCAGTCATCATCATCATCATCATCATCATCATCTTCAGTCATCATGTCAGTCATCATCATCATGTCATCATCATCAGTCAATCAATTCATCGTCATCATCATCATCATATCATCATCGTCATCATCATCATCATCATCATCATCGTCAGTCGTCAATCATCATTATCGTCATCATCATCATCATCATCGTCATTCATCGTCATCATCATCATCATCGTCTCGTCATCATCATCATCATCATATCATCAGTCAGTCAAGTCTTTTCATCATTATCATCATCATATCATCATCGTCATCGTCATCATTGTCATCATCAATTGTCATCGTCAATTGTCATCAAGTCATCATTAATCGTCATCAGTCATCATTATCATCATCCATCATCATCATCAATCATCATCATCGTCATCGTCATCGTCATCGTCATCATCGTCATTCGGTGTCATCGTAATTGTCATCACTTGTCGGAGGGAAGTGCTAATAGACAGATCGACAGTCGGTGGGCGTGGCAGGAAAGTGGGCGGACCTTCCTTCGCGTGCCCGGGGGGGCGGGGGGGAGGGGGTGATTTGAACGCCTTGTTGACATGGTTGTGTACGTGTGTGATGGAGGATGAAGAAGGTGGAAGAGGAGGAGGAGAGGAAGGAGGAAGGAGAAGGTAGAAGGGGAGGTGAAGGAGGAGAGAGAAGAAGAAAAAGAAGTGGAAGAGAAAGAAAGAGGAGGTAGAAGGGGGGTGGGGTGGAGGAGGAGGGAGAAGGCAGGTGGAAGGAGGAGGAGAGGAAGAAGGAGAGAAAAAAAAAGAATAGACGGGTAAAGGGAATAATAATAATAGGAAGAAAAGGGAAAAGTAGAGAGTGAGAGAACCACTTCGACTAATGCTCGCGCGGGGACAGTTGACGTTTGTGTGTGTGTGTGTGTGTGGTTGTGTATGTGTTTGTGTGTGTGTGTGTGTGTGTGCGTGTGCGTGTGCGTGTGGTGTGCGTGTGCGTGTGCGTGTGGGTGTGTACGCGTGAAGGTACTTACACCGTAAGAGCGTGTACAGACACGAGTTTTACCCCGACACTACTTAGAGAAAGAGAAAAAAAAAATGTCCGTTTGAAAAAAAAGTCGTGGAAGACAAGGAGGGAAAGGAAGGAAGGATGGGGGGGGGGTAGGAGGCAAGAGAATTGAAAAGAGGGGTGGAGGGTGGTGGTTGGGGGGTGGGGTGAGAGAGGTGGCAGCGAAGGCACCCCCGACTGATGCTGAGGGAGCGTGGCAGCCGAAGAAAAGGGCGACAGGTTTTCCACTAAGATGTCCATTTTTTTTCTCGTGGGTGGGTGGGGAAGGTTGGGGGGGGAGGGGGGCCGAGAAGGTTGTGGGGGGGAGGGAAGGAGAGGGGAAGGGGTTAGTTTGAAGGGGGGAGGTGGCGAAGGTTGTGGGGGAGGGGGAAGGGGTTAGATGAAGGGGTGAGGGTGGGGGAAGGTTGGGGGGGGAGGGGAGGGGGTTAGTTGAAGGGGTGGGGGTGGGGAAGGTTGGTGCAGGGGGAAGGGGTTAGATTGAAGGGAGTGAGGGTGGGGAAGGTTTTGGGGGGAAGCGGGAAGGGGTAGTTGAAGGGAGTGGGGTGGGGAAGTTTGGGGGGAGGGATGGGGAAGGGTTAGGTTTGAAGGGCGTGGGGGGTGGGGGAAGGTTGTGGTGGGGGAGGGGAAGGGGGTTAGCTTGAAGGAGTGAGGTTGGGGGTTTTTTTGGTGGGGAAGGGGTTTAGTTGGAAGGGGAGGGGGTGGGGGGAGGGGGAAGGGGGTTAGTTTGAAGGGGTGGGGGTGGCGAAGGTTTTTTGGGGAGGGGGAAGGGGTAGTTTTAACCGTGGGGGTTGCCGAAGGATTTTTAGGGGGTGGAAGAAGGGGGAAAGGGAGTTAGGGCAAGGAACGGGAGGGGGGTGGTGGTTCTTCGTGTCTTAACCCGAGGAGTCCGAGTGCGAGGCACCGCGATCGTCCCGTTCCCGTGTTATTACGTAGCGGAGAGAGAAAGAAAATCGGATATAAGAAATAATATTTTGATAAAAATGTAGGGAGAGAAAAAAAATCGGATAAAGAAAAATAATATTTGATAAAAGATGATAAAGACGATAGAGAAAGAGAAGGGGAGAAAGGAGGCGGCCCGGGGAGAGAGCAGCGGCGGGGCGGAGAGAGGCCGAGAGGCGAGGCGCGGGACCAATTGGTTCTCGGAGGCGGGCGCGCGCGGCGGCGGGCGGACGAGGGCGGCGAGGGCGGAGTCACAGGGATGTCAGTGAGGGCGACATCAATCAGAAGGCCGTTAATCATGGACGTTGATGATTGACTGCGGGATACAGGGGGCGGGGCGCGGGTGACGGCCGACACAGGACCTCCATTATGGCCGCCCGACGGAGGAGGAGGATGTCGGGAGGAGGCCGCCGACGCCGAAGCTCCTGGGCTGGTCGGGCTTGGTCGGGGCGGGCGGCGGGCGGTCGGCGGTCGGCGGCGTAGGGGGCGGCGGGGCGAGTGCATGGCGCATGAGACACTTGCGGGGCCGTCTTGCTTCGGTTTTGGCTTCTCTTGCCTCCCCTGTTCTCCTCTCCTCGTCGTCTCTTCCTTCCTTCGGCGGGGCGGAGGGGGAGGGGAGGGCGGGGGCGGGGGGAGAGGGTTGGGGGGAAGGGGTGGGGTGATCCCATCATGGCGGATGAGGCGGCCGGACCTGGAGGGCCACGGGCAGGGGCGCCTCTCCCCTCCCTTCCCTCCCTCCCTCGCCCTTCCCAATGGCCGCTTGTCTCCCGCCCCTCGCGGTTTTTTTTCTCACCCTCTCTCACTCCCTCTCTTGTTTTATCTCTTCTCTGGTCTGTCTGTCTCTCTCTTCGCTCTCTCTCTCTCTCTCTTCTCTCTCTCTCTCTCTCTCTCTCTCTCTCTCTCTCTCTTCTCTCTCTCTCTCTCTCTCTCTCTCTCTCTCTCTCTCTCTCTCCCTCCTCTCCTCTCCCTCCCTCTTTCTCCCTCCTTCCCTCTCTACCCCTCCCTCTCCCTCCTCCCTCCCTATTCCTCCCCTTCTCCCTCCCCTTCTTCCCTCCCTCTTTCCCCTCCCTCCCTCTCTACCTCCCTATTCCCCCCCTTCTCCCCCCCCCCCCGCTTAAGAACCCCCTCCGCCACCTGCCTGTCATTAGCCTCACCTGCGCCGCCTTGCCATCGCCGCGCCCTTTGCCTCTGCCGCCCCCCACCCCCCACCCACCCCTCCGCCGTCACCTCCCCTCCGTCCCCCCCCCCTCTGCGCCGTGGTCGTCCCGTGAGACTCGGATCTACGCTGTGGGTCGTGCGTCAGCCTCGAGGTCGTGGCTGTGTGGCGACGACCATGGAAGGAGGATCTGGGGGGGGAGGGGAAGGAGGAGAGGGGAGGGGAGGGCGAGAGGAGGGAAGGGGAAGGGAAGAAGAAGGGGAAGGAAAGGGAAGGGAAGGGAAGGAAGAAGGCGGGAAGGGGAACGAGGTGAGAAGGGAAGGGAAGGGAAGGGAAGGGGAGGGGGGAGGAAATATTCGGGCATGGGAGAAACGAAGGGGCAGAGGGAAACAAAAAAAAAAAAATAAAATAATATAAATAATCATCATAGTAATAATACAAAGAAGAATAAGCCGCACCCCCCCCCTCCTCCCAGCGCCTGGAGGCAACGGCATTAATCATAGCAATAACGAGAGGCACTCCTGCTTGCTTGCTTGCTTGCTTGGGGGGGGGAAGGGGTAAGGAGGAAGGGGGGGGGGCTATTGTGACCTCTGTGTTGTTTTTCGTCTTTATTGCTTTTTGGAATAAGGGCGAAGGAGAGGAGGATTACTGCTTATCTCTTCTTTGGCGATTAGCATCTTGGGCGAGGCGAACGGGAGATGGTTCTCTTCGTCTCCGTCTTCTTCTTTCTTCGTCTTCGTCTTAAGAAATCCTTTTCGTTTTATTTTTTATTTTTTCTTCTGGTTCCGCTTGGCTTGAGCTTCCAGACCCCATTTTATTTATATTTTTTTGTGTATGGTAGTTTTTTTGCTATAATGTTTCATGCTTTGAAGTTTTGTTTGTTTTATCATTGCCTTAGCATTTTTGTATATATATATATATTTTTTTTTTTTTTAGAATAGCAAGCTAGCTAGTTACCCTAGAGACAATTCTTTCTCATTGCTGACACGCCCCTTCGGCCGCAAACCCTTGAGCTAAAGACAACGCTTGACCTCGTACATTTCAGGCACAGGCTACTACTCATACGCTAACAGTGTGTCACCCTTGAACTCTCCTGTAGTCGAGGGTGGCGTCGGCGGCGACGGCGGCAGCGGCACCATGGGGCGCGGCGGCGGCGGCGGCGGCCCCGGCGTGCAGTTCTACCACCTGGTGCGCACGCCGGAGGACTCGGCCTCGGGCACCCTGGGGTCGTCGCGGGACGGGCGCGACCGCACCTACGGCACCCACAAGGCCATCCCGGAGATCTTCCTGACGCGGCTGCTGTCCACCAAGGGCACCGTGCAGCAGTTCGTGGACGACTTCTTCCGGACCATCCTGAGCGCCAACGACGGCCTCCCGCCGGCCGTCAAGTGGCTCTTCGACCTGCTGGACGACGCCTCGCGCGCCCACGGCATCACCGACCCCGAGGTCATCCACGCCTGGAAGTCCAACTGCCTCCCGCTGCGCTTCTGGGTCAACTTCATCAAGAACCCCGACTTCATCTTCGACATCGCCAAGACGCCCACGGTCGACTCGTGCCTCTCGGTCATCGCGCAGACCTTCATCGACGCCTGCTCGACGGCCGAGCACCGCCTGGGCAAGGACTCGCCCTCCAACAAGCTGCTCTTCGCCAAGGACATCCCGCGGTACCGGGCGCAGGTGAGGGGCGGCGCCGCTCGTCGGCTTTCCTTCCGCACAGTGATTTACTCGCCGCGAAGTCTCTCTCCGCGCTTTCTCCCCGTTTATCACTCATTCTCGTCTCCCCCTTCCAGGTGAAGAGCTTCTACAGCGACGTGTCGAGCGCGCAGCCGGTGAGCGAGCAGGAGCTGGGCCAGCACATGCAGCAGCTCTCGGCCGCCCACCAGGGCCACTTCGACAACCTGGCCGCCCTCAAGGAGCTCTACATCTACGTCACCAAGTACCACGAGCTGGTGAGTGGCTTCCCCGCCCGGGGGGGACCCTGGGGGGACCCTGGGGCTGGGGTCATTTAGGTATTGACTCCAGGGCGGGGGGACCTTAGAGGAAACCCGACCCGACGTCTGTAAAATAACAACAACGTGTGAACAAATAATGAAATCAAAATCGATGGCAGCGCGCGGCCCCGCTCCGCCCGCCGCGCTTTATGGCCGGTAGCATGTGTGTGTGTGTGTGCGCTGTGGCGACGCACACACGCACACGTGGTTATGTGCTGGCCAGCTGACCCGGTCGAGGAGGCGGAAGTCATAATAACAAAATTGCCGGCTTGGAAATGAAAAGTTTCCAAGGGCGGCCGAACACTTAATTAATTCCCCCGTCGGGTGCCGGACGCTCGCTCCCGCCGGCGCCGCCGACTCGGACGGGGCCGAGGCGGGGACCTGGCTCGGCTGACTGGATTTTTGTGTTATTATTTCGTCCATTTGTTCATTTCCGTATTTCAAGCGAGACCTCGTTCCTTGCAGATCCTGGAGTCGCTGGACGCGGACCCGTACTGCCGCAAGCTGAGCCTGGCGCACCGCCTGCAGTCCATCGGCTACATCCTGGAGTCGTACAGCCACGCGGGGCCGGTGGCGCCCATGCCGCCCCTGCAGCTGGCGGGGCAACTCTCCGAGCTGTGAACGCCCACACCATGACGCCGCCCGCGGTCTCTCCTCCAGGGACGCCCACCAGTGAACGCCCTCGCGACGCGCGCCCGACGGCAGACACTCTCCGTGGACACGAACCCTTTTTATAGCAAAGACTTGGAAGCAGCTTCCGCGGGCCCGCGCGGGCGCCGCCGCCGCCCCCCCTAGTGCAATAAGACGGCCCGCGCGGCTGCTTCGGACTCCCTGTGTTGTGTGGCGACATGCAAATGCAATTTGTATTGGAATTTTTAATTATTTTTGACGAACGGTTTTGTTGTTTGATGAAGAGGAAACCCCTTTTTCCATGCAAGCGATGGAAGCCTCCTTTTTTACGACGGTGATCACTGTACATAGTTGAGACAATCCGAGGGCGGGCGCCGCGCCGCCCGCGAGAGACCCTCTGCCCGCACGGCAAGCTGAATGTGATACTTGGGATTTCATATTTATGTGTTAGTCGCTGTGTTCTAGTGCTAGTGCCTAAGGATACAATGTTCCTTGTTTTTCATTGAAGTGCTTATCAGTCACTCCTCACGTGCAAACAGCCTTGGGCGCCGCCGGGCTCGTCCGGGCGGCGCCGAACGAGCGGAAATCTGGTCTGCTGCGGATGAGCGAAAACACTCGTGAATATTTCTTTTCTTTCTGTTTGTACATACACACTTGTCTTTCTCTCTCTCTCTCTCTCTCTCTTTCTTTTTATATAAGCTCCTTAACAAGATGGGGATTAATAGTAATGGAAGCGTAAGAGTGGATGTTTGTAGTTTTTTTTTTTTTTTTTTTGCTCTACACAGCCGTAAGCAATGTAAGGAAACAATACATTTAGTGAGTTTATGCATTTTATACTACTTTTTACAGTTGCTTTTAATTTTTGTTTTGTCTTTCGAGGGGGGGGGGGAAGAAGTGAAGATGAAGAAGAGCAAAAGAGAAGCGATCTCTTGAACACATGCCTCGTCTTTATATATGAAGCTTGGTGCTAAAAAAAAAAAAAAAAAAAAAAAAATTCACGTAGGAGAAAAAAAAACAAAACAATTAAGAAATAAAGAACAAAGATTCTTTTGACGCGTCGATTCTTTCCAGAAGTTATTCCTGAACGTCTTATGCAACGCCATGAAGTGATAGGAACCAATTTATCTCCCGTCTCCATCCAATGTATGTCCACTAGTCTCTCTTTTTTTTTACACGTATATAATTTATCCAGTTAGGCCTTTTTTTTGTATATAGCCGTTTATATTACCCTCGTGTTGGTGACAATGTCATCGTTATCTGTGTATTTAATTTTTTTTCCCTAGGATGTATGTTTATATATATCTCGTCTGGACTTTTTGAGGATTTGGCATGCATGTAGAGAGAAAATGCTTTTTTTGAATGAAACACAGTGCTTTATGCATGATAACCACTGTATTGGAAGAAACATTTATATTCAAGTCCAGTATTGAGCCAGGAGTATTATGAATATTGTCACGGTTACCGCACCTTTTTACCACTCTCTCATGTACCCTTTTTGTCTCTTTAGATAAACAAAACACCTTTTTGACAAGTTGCCTACCAGCTCTATAATGACATTCCTCTTCATGTCTCACTATCAATGTTTCTTCTATTTATTACCCACAACGGAATTGAATGGATTTCAATTGAACTTTCTGCAGTTTTATTGTTTTTTTTTCGCTTTTAAGTTTCACCTGAAAAGGTCAGTTTTTTTCCTGCCCTCAATTTTGTTATTGTTTTTTTTTCTTCTCTCTGTCTGAATTGTGATTTTGTTATTATTTGTTTTTTATTTTTCTCTCCTTTTTATACTTCCTTCCCGCCTTCTTCTCACACTCACCCCCTCCCATTTCCCCCCTCCCCTCTCTCTCTCCTTCCCTTCCCGTCTTCTCCCCCTCTCTCTCCGCCATTTTTATCACTTTCTCTTCTCTCTCTCTCCCCCTCATCCTATCCTTCCTCCTTCCTCCTTCCATTATTCTCCCTACCTTCTCCACCTCCACCCTCCATCCTCCAACCTTTGCTCCTTCCTCCTTCCTCTATTCCCCTTCTCCTCCTCCTCCTACTCCTCCTTCCTCCTTCCTCTACCTTCCTACCTCTCCTCCTCTCTACCTCCTTCCTCCTTCCCCTTCCTCTGTCCTTCCTTCCTCCTCCCCCGCCCCCTCCCCTGTCCCCCTTCCCTTGCAGCGCGTGGTTAGTGACTACTGGTCCCTGTGGCATGGTTAATCAACACTCAGCTATGCAACAACAACAACAACAACAAAAACAAAAAATACAAAAAAATAATGATGATAGTAACTGCTTAGGTCAGCTGCTAAAAAAACAATACTTTGAGGTGACGAAGAAATTTGGGGACATTGTATAAACCTGTACAGAGAAATTTTGTTATTGTAAAGTATTTTTGTAAATGTGAGTATGAGGGCATTGTGTAAAATCTTGCAACTTTACTACAAATAAAGTGAGTGCCAAGAAATGTGTTTATTTTGTGATATTCCTTTTGGTTATTGCTGTTTTTTTATGACTGGTGGTATTGTTATGTTGACATGAGGTGAAGAAAAATGAGCAGTTGTATCCATTTTTGTACATGTATTATGTGTGTATCTATCCCACACACACACATACATACCCACATACTGCATACATATATGTATATATGCATACATACAAAATGCATATATGTATATATACAAACATATATGTATATGTACATACATACTACATACACATACATATATTCATACATACATACATGCTTACAAATACATATATACAAAACATAACGAAATACCATCCTTATTCCCTACACATCGAAATCCATTTTTATTATGAAACCGCCATTAATCCCACCCACAAACAACCTTCAAACATGTAAACATAACCCCTTTTAAATCATTCACTTGCATATCAACCGGAAGTGACTCACCAATGGCCCGAGTCTCAAAACAAAACCGGACACAAACGGTACACGAGTCGACGAGCCTGTGATAAGAGAAATTCCCGGACCCGCCCACCCTCTGCAACCCGTTCAATCCACCTCGGCTGGCAGCTTGACCGTACCCGGGAGTATCCACCTGCAGAATATCCACATAAAGTATATAGAGCAAAGTTAGAGTCCCTTGTTGCAGGCCGGCAATATTCGGCGGTGCAGTAGCAGGCCGGCCATTATTCTTGTTGCATGGGCGTTGCAAAACATTATCTTATAACATTATATATGAGACAGGCGTGGGCTGCGCGACTCACGCCCCAGAATTACGTGAAGGTGGCGCTCTCACACACGGAAATAGAGATAGAAATTAAAGATTGCATTGATAAAAATATGTGCGTATTACATGTTTATATGCATCTATATACATATACATATTTAACAGTATGAATATTATTATAGTATATATATGAGTATTAGTATATACGTATATAGTATATATATAATGTATATATAGTATAAACTACTATATTGCATATAGTGTATAAAAGCCTAGATATATATGGTACGGGGTAAAGTAAATGAGAAAGACAGAAAACATCAAACAGCACACACACACCATACACACACCACACAGCGCATACATACATACAATACAATCAAAATTACGATATTAACCACTAAAAGAACAGCAAGAAACACTCGAAACCAAGAGCCAAGAACACACCGTCGACTTAACCCCAATACACAGCGCTGCGCGCTCAAAACGCGATCATAATATCAAAGAAATTCGCCTTTTTTCCCGGCCTCGGAGTCACTGACCCGTGGCTATCATGCGAATCAATGTCAGTTCTCTACAGCAGGACATTCGTATTCGGAACCCTTCGGAATATAAAATCAAATATTTAGCGAACGAAATGATGCTTTTGGCACACAGGGATTGGGTCTCCGGGTGGGACGGAGAGAGAGAGGGAGGAGGGAGAAGGAGGGGTGAAGGGAGGGAAGGGAGGGAGGGGGGGGGGAGGGAGGGAGGGAGAGGGAGAGAGGGAGAGAGGGAGGAGAGAAGAAGGAGAAATAGGGTGAGGGGGTGAGTGTGAGAAAAGAAATGACGAAAGAGGGGGGAGAGAGAAAGTAAGAGAAAGAGAAAAGAAATAAAAAAAAGGAAAGAAAAGAAGAAAAAGAAAGAGTCAGACAAAGACAGAGAATTGAGATGAGATAAGAGAATGAGAGAGAGAAGTACAAAAAAGGAAAAAAAGGAGCGAAAAACAGAGTGAGAAAGTAGGCTATGTCATTGACCGAAAATTGACAATATTTTACATTCTTATTTGCTATTGGTGGAGCGCGGGGAGCGTGTCCGAAGGGGCGATATTGCCTCAGAAGAAAAGAAAAAAAATGCACACACAACACACACAGCACACGTACGCACACACACTTCACGACACTTACACTTACACACACATGAATACACACACAGCAAACACACACACACACACACACAACACCACACACGCCACACTTACGCGCAGGACTTACACACACAACCACACCACCACACACACACACACACACACACACACACACACACACACAAGAAAAAATGAACGCACACATGCACTTAATGGTCCGCATTTGACCGCCATTCTTCACTGACAAGACGTAAAGGCTAAGGGGTGATTTAGCGACACTTCCCGCGTCCATTTTCTCGGCTTCTTCCTCCTCCATTATTCAAGCCTCTCTGGGAATAATTTTGCGAACCTCAATAAAGATCAAATTTGCATGAGATTTGCAGATACTTCAGTAATTTATACATCCGTGTGAACTATTTGAACTGTCTCGATATTATGAACAACGTACTGCGGGAAGGCGAAAGTAGAACCAATATTAAGACACAAAAAAAGGAGGAAATTGGAAAATATTGATAATATTGAAAGATTATAATAACCCCAATAACATGGACCGTAATAAACACATCAGGGAAAGGAGAGTAAATAGAGTTAATGTATTTCGATGAAGGAGAATTATGGCCATATTGGAGGAAATCGTCTTGCGAGTAATAATAAAAGTAATAAAACAAATAACAGTCGCCAAATAAGTACAGAAAGAACCAGAAAGAGTTTTTTTTCTTCATTTTTTCTTTTTTTTTCTTAATGGACTATCCATTCTGAAATTACTTCAGCCTAATGGAGATATTTGTGTCGATTTCCTAGATAAAGTATCGCTTCGTAAAGTCGAATAAAAAATAATTTATATAATTTATTGAATTCAGAAATGAAAAAAATAGAAGAAAGGGAGAAATTAGATAATTAAAAAAAAGTGATAAAAGTGAATAAAAAGTTCAAGGAAATGGATAAAAAACAATAATGGGAGAAAGAGAATTGGAATAAAGGGATAAAACGAATTAGAATAAGGTCAATAAATATAAATATATTCGAGGAACATTAAGATGGCAGCAACCTCCTTTTCCAATGTTTTTTTCCGATAATACAATTACTTTTCACACTCAACACAAGCCCCGTGCGTCTGGAAAAAACGATGGGGGGGGGGGATTGGTTGGAGAGAGAATGAGGGAGAATGGTGGAGGGAAATGTATTCGATATATTTTTATTACCCTAGCTGATACATTATCCTTAGTGAAGTGTATCAGAGTGAAATATATGAACACGATGCGTTGGTTTACAGACAATCATATTTCAAACAATATAATTTTTTTTTACTTTTTTTAGGCTTTGTTAACGCACCCTGGCTAAGGCGTGAACAAGCCTGTGGTAATTGATACGTCATAGCATTATATAATAGTATTACACTTGAAATTTAGGCCGATAACATTATTATAATCTGCATTATATCGCTAAAAGAAAAATAATTTCACAGTCCTTTATCTAATTTACGCGTACAGGTTGGGCGTGGGCGTGGAAAAAGCATGGTTACGTATGATGTATGGTCCCGTCATACTACATTCCATATATAGAATACAACATACCCTCTAAGACATCAATTCATAAGACCTCAGTCAAATAAAATAAGTCAAATAGATCTTGTCTAATGAAATGTGGCGCAAAATTCCCGGTAGAAGTTTAAGTAAACATTCTTGGCTCTGG